AACCAATTTTAAGCTAACTGGACAGTGTGGATGTAGGATTTGAATTATTTATTGAGCATCTATTATTTGTATAGAATGTAATGTGTTGGCAGGTAGAGGGAGCTACAAGACCTTTCTCAAGAAGGTTTTCTTCTTACTGGTTAATTTAGAGTTAACAGTGCAAAACTGTATCTAATTAAGTGCCAGATTGTGTGAATCAAGATAGAAATGTTAAGGAATTTCCAGTAGAGTAAGATGGAGTAATTGCATGGTTTCTTAAAGAGGGTGGCATTTGAACCTTATTTTAAGGCTGTATGGGACTTGATTAGATGAAGTGATCTTCCTGTGTTTGTAATTGTCAAGTGAACTAGGCTGGAATTAAGGGTCTTTCCAGACTGCAAGTATCAAGATAAGATCACGTGTTTATGAGGCTTATGGAGAGACTTGGTTAACTAGGGCAGAAAATATATGTTGGGAGAAGTAACTGGGCTGTAACATGACAGAAAATTATGGAAGGCCCAGAAAACCAAAGCATGAACTTCGTTTTTGATACATAGATTCCAAGAGCCACTAAAAGTTTTCTTTTCTTTCTTTCTTTTTTTGATACGGGGATCGAACTCAGGACCTTGCACTTGAGAGGCTGGCGAGGTGCCACTGAGCTAAATCCCCGCCCTGCCACTAAAAGTTTTTGATGAAAAGATCACCATTACATTAGTGGTGTTTAAGCAAGATTAATTTGACAATAGTATTCATTCAACAAAAATTTGAAACTCATACCTTATCCTCATTTACTGTTGTTACTGGAATATGACTGTGAAAAAGGAACTGGCCCTGCCCTGAAGGAAGAGTGGGAATGGAAAGCGTGTTCATATACACTTCTGACATAAAGTGCCAAATTGGAAATGAAGTGTTAATTCAGGGAAATTAATTCTAACTGAGGACTAGAAGCAGGGGATAAGCATAGGATTCTTGGGAAAGAAATTATTTTAGTTGACTTTTGAACGAGGATTTTAGTGGATGCAGAAGTTGGGAAAGAAGGCTGGAGGGATAGAGTTAGCAAAAGCACAGACAAGAGTGTTGTCCTTATTTTGGTGAATAATAATGTCACATAAATAATACGGACACTTTGATAGAGTGTTGGAATTGGTCAGTTTATGGTTGCTCTACTCTTAAGAATTTTGAGTTTATACTGTATATGTGGGGAAGCTAGAAAAGATTTTTGAGCAGGGAAGTGACCTTTTCAGAATGATTCTGACAAGTGTATACCAGCATGTGTCAGATGCACAGTAGGCAAGGGTGTCAGGGAGTGATCTCAATACTAATAGCACCGTTAGAGATGTTGAGGGTCTGGGAATGCAAAAATACAGTCAGACTATTAAAAAATACAATTCAAAGGAAAGTTTTAGACTGGAAATTAGATATGTTGAAAAAAAATAAGCAAAAGCTAACTCTGAGGACTTACATCTGGGATAAAAAAAAGTTGGGAGGAAAATTTAAATGGTAAAAGTGTATTGATTTTGAGTTTAGCATCTGAATTACTTTTTATGTGATCACTTTTTCTTTCTTAATTCATTCCCAGTTACTTCTGACAACATTTTATCCAAAATTCATCCCAGACATCTCAGGCATCAGATGAGCAGTACTTCATTTTTGACTTTGCTTTAACCAAGCATCTGTTATTCATGTCCACTGGTGTTAAAACTTGAAAGCTTCTGTTTGCAGGTATCACTGAGACTCAAACTGCCCCTTTTCATTCTTAGCAGGTAAGCTAGGCTAAGAAATAACTATTCCAGTTAATGTAAAAGGTAACATAATAGAATCTTTTTCAGAAGTATTTCAATATGATTCTGCTGTTTGTAGAATGTTGTTACTCTAGAGGTACAACCACAGTCTGTTGAAACATTCCGAGTCAGTGTTGGGAATGGGTTATTCTCAGCAGCCAGGTTTGCTTAGGGTTGACTTACGATTAAGTGGTGAGATGTAATATGCTTTAATTATATTTGAAGCAGATTTTCTCCCTAAGATTTAGCTTTTACTTATCTGACTTTTCCCCATTTCTTAACAAAAGTTATTCTACATTTAACTTACTATTTAATTTAATATTTATTTTGAAATAATTTCAGATGTACAGAAAAGTTTAAGCAGTAGTGCAAAGAATATACCCTTATGCCCTTCACATAGATTCACCAATGTTAGAAAGTACAAATATATTAACATTTTGTTTATATATATACATGCACAATGCTATACATCCATTTTCTTATTATTTTTTCTGAGCAATTTGTAATTTACAGTGTACCTATCCAAATCAGGAAATTGAAAGGATAAAGCATACTGTCCCCCTGCAGTAGAATGCTATGTTACAATAAAAGAGAAATACTAGCTTATTCAACAACACGAATAGGTCTCAGATATGTTGTGATAAGTGAACAAAACCAGATACAAAAGCTTGCACGCTATATGATTCAATCTATATGACATTCTGGAAAAAGCAAAATTACTAGGCTTAAAACAGTCGCTGGTTTTCAGTGGTGGTGGGAGAGTGTTGACTGTAAAAGAACATTACAAGGGAGTCTAGGAGTGCTAGGATTGTTTCCTACTTTGATTATGGTAGTTGTTATACAATTGTATACTTTTGTCAAAACTCATAAAACTATATACCAAAAAGAGTGAATTTTCCTGTATGTAAATTTTTAAAGTGGGAAAACAATCTGGAATTTAATATGGATACAGTGTTGTTATCTACAGATGTTGCTCAGATCTTTTTCCAGTTGCCTCAATAAGTCCTTTTTATGGGGAAAAAAAATCTTAAATCACAAAATTGTTGTATCTCTTTGGTTTGCTTTAACCTAAAACATTGTCTTTTGTTGTTGATCTTCTTCTTCTTCAGAACAGTCTTGTAATTTTATAATTTTGTAACTTGTAATTTTCATTTTGGGTTATTCTGATATTTTCTTATGAGTCGATTTAGGTTTTGTGTTTATGGCAAGGATACCCTAGAAGGAATGCTATTTTCTTCTCATTACATCATATCAGGTGACACATAATGTTAGGATGGTGTCTGCCAGATTTCTCCACTGTAAGGTCACTGTTTTCCCTTTGTAGCTATTAAATATCTTATGAAGAAATATTTTGAGAGTGTACAGCCAGGTGTCAAACTTTCACCTGCTAATTTTAGCATCCAAAAATGATTCTTGCTTGTATCAACTAGGTACTCTCAAATAGAATTTATTAGACACAATTTAACTTGTTGACCCAGGCAGTTAAGAACACTGTTTATTGGATTCCTCATAGATAAGGCTGCAAGGAGTGACTATTGGTGAGCTGTCCCTAGTGACATGGGAGAGCCTCTGAGAGCCACTGAGGTGACCACTTAGGGATGAATTGCTATTTCATCATTCCCAGCCACCCTTCCCTGGCACTCTGCATCTTCTCATCACTGTTAGAAGGGTACCTATTTCTTACCCCTGATATCCTGTTAATATTTCTACCTCTGTTTTATGTAACGACAGCTTTGGGTTTTTTGTTTTGATTTCTCATGATGGACGGCCCAGAGTAGAAATGTTGAGTTGATCTAAAAAGAGCTAGAACTAGCTGTAACAGTATTCTTCTTCTTTTTTCATGTTTGTTATTTTTAACTCATTTGTCATGTTTTATAGTCATTAAGGGAGGAAAAGAAGTTAGAACTCTGAAGTTGTTGAGTTTCCTCCCTTTTCTTGTCATCTAGCATATTTTTCTTCTTTGTCTTAATTTTAGGGACCTTTACCATAAGGTGATCATCACAGATGTAAAATACCAAGTTAAACCCCATGTGAGATTTCTGACCACAAGGAGCGCTTTGGGCTCCTGGTCTGCCAAGCCAACAACTGGTGACACACAGCAAGCAGTGCTGGCCGCAGTGCAAAGGGCCTAAGTGATAGAGCACTTTCATCTTCATATCTTTAAATACAGTATCTGACATAGGCGAGGAAAGTATTAACTGATGTTTAAGTTTAAAACACAGTAATGAGTAATTTCATACTTGTATGAAAATATGTAGGTAAACTCACATAGGAAATAATTTCTGGATCTAAAAATGAAGTAATTCCTCAATTACAATGTGATGACTATAACACAATGAATATATCACCAGGAAATTTTTAAATGTTAATGTTAGAAATATAATTATAACTAGAAGCCAAATAATGTGTAATTTGGATTTTCTGTATTTTGCTTTGCAGGTAATGATTCACATTATGTTCTTCTTTTTTTTGTTTTTCTTTTTTTCTTTTGGTACCGGGGATCAAAATGAGAACCTTGCATTTGGCAGGCAGGCACAGTGCCATTGAGCTAAATCCCTGGCCCTACATTATGTTGACTAGCAGATTTTTAGCACTTTTAAGCTCAACTTTTAATTATTCTTTTTTTTTACTCTCCATAATACACAAAAATCTCATTGGCAGTTTAGCGTTTTCTAGCGGCCAAGTTGAAGTGATAGTGACAAGGAATGGATTCTTAAACCTAACTACTGGTGAAATGTTTTATGCTAAGAACTATGCTACCTTAATTTAAGAAAGGAAAATCAAATCTGAGGAGAAGAAGAGGAAAATTTTTTAGGATCTAGTGTTGGAGATCTGTACCACCCAAAAATTTGCAGTAGTTGCAAACTAATTACTTAAAAGAAAAGGCAATAATCACAATCTAAGTTGTCATTAGCTAAGTGTGAGCTCGAACTTTCTTGTGTCCAGTGTCAACCTGTGTCAAAGGGTGGTGAATTTGACTTCTAATTACCATGATCTCCTGAGGGATACGTAAACATAGAGGAAACACTTCCCACTCATATCTGACATGCATTCATTTATATGCATGGGCTTACATTTTCCTTTATGTTTGTGTATGTCAGGATGTATATACGTCTTCAGATGAATGAATGCATAAATATACATGGTGATTTAGCTTACAGAATTAAAAATGTAATTCAGTTTACTCCCGGAGAATAAGATTGAAGATATGAGAACTGAATTAAAGCTTACTTTCTTTCACAGAATTCCTCAGAGAGAGAAGACTGTAATAATGGCGAACCCCCTAGGAAGATAATACCAGAGAAGAATTCACTTAGACAGGTATGAAATTCAGACTTACTTAAAAATAAAAAGCTACCAACAGCAAAACAAAAGACAGGAAACCCTTGATTTGCCATGCTTTTTTTTCTTTTGGTACCGGGGATGGAACGCGGGTCCTTGCGCTTGTGAGGCAGGTGGCAGAACCACTGAGCTAAATCCCCGCCCGATTTGCCATTCTTGAAACATTGTAGCTTAAAGTAACAGAGTCCTATGCTGTACAGTTGGTCTGACCCTGGCTGGCTTCCGTCTGGTAACATTGTTTCCCAGTAGTTTCAGAAGTGTCCTGTATGCAAAAGTGCAGGACAGTCGTTGGTTACGTGTAGTGAATATTAAAATAATAATTTTTAAAAGGTTTCTTGTTTCAGGAAAAATAACTAAAGTTCATCTTAAGTACAGATGGTAGAATAGTTGGCTCTAAAACCTAATTTTCCTGTTAAGATTGCTCATACATTTCAAAAAATAATAATAACCAAAACAGATTTGCCTGTAATTAGCTCCTTTTATTTTGTTTGTGTTAGTAGGAGTAGACACCTCACCTCCAGTACTGGGGACCAAACCCAGGCCTTCTCCTGTGCTAGGCAAGTACTCTACCAGTGAGGTATATCCCAGTCCTTTTTAATTTTATTTTGAGACAAGGTCTAAGTTACCCAGGCTGGCCTCCAACTTGTGATCCTCCTGCCTCAGCTTCCAGAACAGCTAGAATTGCAGGTGTGCTCCACTGCATAAGTGAGGCCACTATTGACTAGTTTAAAAAATTACATCTGCCTTATTTCCAGAAAAGTAGCACATTTTACTTGTAAAAGTTCACTCCATGCACTCTTTCTTTTTTTTTTTTAATTGATTCATTGGTATTTTGAGACAGGGTCTCACTATGTAGTTCAGGCTGGCCTTGAACTCATTATGTAGCCCAGGCCGCCTCAGCTCCCAAGTGTTGAAATTACAAGAGTGCACCACCACACCTGGCTTTTTTTTTTATATTAAAGTGTCCAGAATACTGGCCAAAATACTTTCATTCTCCCTGCCTATAGCATCCTTTAACATCTTCCTTATTGGAAACAAAAACAAGTATGTGAGTGTTGCCGGAGAATAAGGGTGTGCCACCTATTTTTGTTAATGTTTTATTAAAGGAATTGAACCTAGAAACTTTGCACTGAGTTACTTTTAACATTTTTTTTGAGAGAGGGTCTCGCTAAATCACTAAGTTCCCCAGGTTGGGTTCCAACTTGCATTCCTCCTGCCTCAGCCTCCCAGAGTGCTGGGATTACATGTGCGTACCACAGCCTCCAGCCAGTCTATTCATTTTAAATTAAGATTGGGTAAAATGTGCACCATTAACAGTAAAAATAATTTTAATTTACTTGCATTTATGACATTGTTCTACAACATAGAAGAGAGATAATATTTGTTCAGCACCTACTATGAACATACTTGTTTAATTCACATAGTAACACTGTAAAATTGCTAGATATAATGTGATTTCCAATTATAGATAAAGAAAATGGAGACTTAAAGGGGTTAGTTGACTTTAGGGACTGGATGATTTGAAAATCAGAACTCACTGTTGCCAGAGTGTTTCTACTTCAGTCTTCTGACTCCAGTTTTCATATTGTTAATTTAGGAAGGAAAGTACCTGAGACTGTGACACATTCAGGTTTTTTGGGGGGTTTTTTGTTTGTTTGTTTGTTTTTTTAATTTTTTTTTTTTTTTTTTGGTACCGGGGATTGAGCTCAGGTCCTTGCACTTGTGCAGCAGGCGGCAAAACCACTGAACTAAATCCCCAGCCCACTTTCAGTTTTTAATTTGCTGTGGACAGTAGTTTCTCCTTTTTTAATAAAAATAATTGTTTTAAGTAGAATTGAGTCAATTCAGGAAGCTTTGTAAACAAATATGTAATTGAAGTTGAAACAGTTGTAACTATTTGGAGATAAATACTTGATTTGTAAATCTAAATCAGTGGAACATTATTGAATAAGGTCCTTTTGGAGGTAGAAACACTCTGCCCGCTATACAGAAACAACTGTAAGAAAACAAAGACACGACAAAAAGTTTTGGCAACTTTATTTAAGCTAACAAACGAATTTTCACTCTGCAAAGTTATAAATTAATTTTAATAGGCTGATCCAGATGGTCCATTTGGAAAATGGATAGGCTGATCTGTTGAAAATTAAACTAAATTTATCTCTCTCATACTTCAAGCTGAAGTGAGAGAGAGAATCGTGCCTATTAAGTCCAGCACATGCAGATGGACCAGCAGGTCACACATGGGACTAATCTGATTCATTTTAAAAATAAATGCAAACATTATTGAATCATTTTATACTTTCAAGATCTGTTGTGTGCAATATTTGAAAGAGATTTAATGTTGTTTTTTCATTGCTGTTTTAGCAAGTTCTCTTCACTTCCTCCATTTAAATTTACAAATAAACACACCCCCCCCTCCCGTGCTCCAAAATGATTTTTGTAATATCTGTCATTCGGTGTTGAGATCCAAGCTCTGGAGATTAATTAGGTCACGAGCCCCACCCCCACCCCGCCTTGCTTTTGTGAAGGGCTTTATCTCCATTCTTTTTGTGAAGAGCATGAACTCAGTGTTCTTGGAAAGAGAAATGGCCTTTAGAAACAGGGAAGTGGGAGATCCTCCTGGGGCCTCAGAGTCTTTTAGCTTCTGGGTGTTTTAACAGCCCCATGAATGCAGATTTGTAAATTTATTGCAGTGCCATCTGGTTTTTTGCTTGAACCAGATTACTGTTGGCTTGTGTCTGTCTATTGTGGTGGTCACTCCCTGGGAGCTTGCCCTCTCAGTCTTGGGGAAAAGTGATGAATAGCAGGGGTCAATAGAAGCGGGTCACAGGGCAGCTGTCCAAGACTGCCCTGAACTTGATTACCCCACTACTGATTTTTTTTTTAGGCTGGACATAATACTATACAAGCTGTTTAATCTCTTCCTTTTCTCAACTGCACATGACAGTACCGACGGATGGGACGAACCATTTGCTGCCCTGTTTGTTGTTTGTTTGTTTGTTTGTTTGCCCTGTGGTGGTGTTCTATGGACAAAAGGATGGTAAGGTCCCGGACTTCTGCCTACCTTGGTGTGAGATTGGTGTTGGGTGGGTCAGTCCTTTGCTTGAGATTCTTTTGTGATATTTCAAATGGCATTTCAGGAACTCTTCACTATTGAATATAAAAAGTTCAATTATATTCTAACAATTTCATATTGTTTTAAACTAGATTATAGTTTGCATTTTTTATTTTAAGTAGAGTTTTGCCATTGACAGGATATGACCACATGTTAACTTGGAGAGCTATTTAAATATTGGAGGAGCTGAAAGAAGGGTTATCACTACAGTTTTTACATACATTAAAAGAATAATATGGGTTATGTCAGAAGTTTGACAGCTGAAATAAAATGGGAAAATTCCTTAAAATATAACTTAAAACTAACACAAGTTGAGACAAAATTTAAATAGCCCTATGTCTATTAAATACATTTAATTATCAAATGATCATACGGTTTCACTGGTGATTTCAACAAACATTTGAGAAAGAAATAATAGCAATCTCAAACAAACTCTTCCTGACAATAGAAATGGAAAGAATACTTCCTGACTTGTAAAACCACATTATAACAGCAGTTCCAAACCTGACAGACAACTACCAGAAAGGGAAATACAGAAGGAGAGTTAGGACATGTTACTTCCTGTGTTCCCAAGTCACTTTGTAGACCTACTTTTTCATTTTATTTCCGGGGTATCAGGGCATGGTGGGGAGTAAACTGTGCATCCTTATTTTTTTTTAAAGTCAATTTTTATGTAAATAAGGAAGGGTGGAGCGGGTGAAGGGCACACAGGTAATGGGGAAAAAAGTAAGAACCAAGATACATCATGTGCAGGTACAAGCACCCAATGGTAAATGTAAACGTATTGTATACCTAAAATGTACCAATAAAAGAATTAAAAAGAAAAAAACTCAATTTTTCATGGTGTAATCTCATCTTGGCATTACATACAAATTTTTATTTGGAGCATATACAGAGTAGATAGTTTTTCTTTCTACTTTTCTCTTAAAATACAAAGCTAAAGGAAATTATAGCCACTGTTTTTCATAGCTCTTATCGTCCGTTACTGAGGGCAAAGGCCTGGCAGGACAGAAAGTACTCATTACTTTTTGAAAATGTAACATTGCAACATGCAACTCCTCTTTGCTTCTCATGGGTGCTAATCGGATCTGTCAGCCCTGCCTTTCTCTGTCATTGAGTAAATTGTGACCGGCGTCTAATCCTTCTCCCATCCCCCACTGCTTTTGTGTATGTGTCCACTTTCCATCCTGGGAACGTGGGCAGTGATAAATAAAGCATTGAGCAGAGCTCTCTGAACTCTTTGAAAGCAGCATGATGCCAGCCCTCTAGTTATATTTCTTTAACTGTTTACGTTTTTCTGTATTCCCTCTCTTGTGTGGCTGGAACCCTGGGGATGCAAAGCCATGAGAGAGGCCAAGAAGCTAACAAAGTAGCTGTCTCCCTTGTTAGCTTGTTCCTTTATTCTCTAAAAACAAGATAAAAACCATCTGGCTCAGGGCATTACATTTTCCTCCCCCATGCACCTCTATAGAGGAGATTTCACCTGCAGAGAGAGTTTACATTGATTAGGGAGGAAGCAGTAATTCAAGCTTCCATCCTCTTCAAGGATACTTTGCAGTCTTTAAGGTGCTGACCCACTGAGTTAAACTGTCAAGGGAGGATAAAAAAGTATCTTCCTCCCAGGAGGTAACAGCTGCCAGGTTTTCAACACCTTGCACCGCTGCTGGAAAAAATGTCACAATTGTCAGCTGAAAGAAAAATGACTCTGTCGTCATCTTCTGTTAATGACTGGGCCTTATAAAAGGAACTACATTGCCTTTCAGAAGGAATAAGTGGCTGTTTTCCTTGCCTTCCATGTCCCCCTCCCCTCAAAAATTCCTACAGTTTGTTCTCACCTTGAAGTAGATCCACAAAAACCAGCAGT